ATAGCCAGAGGAAGACTGACTTCATATTACTTAATAGGAAAAGAAGGGCTTCAATAGCTTTGGCTGTGAAAACTCTTGGTCTTGGAGCATCATTCACAGGAGAATAATCACCCAATGAAGCCATATCCCTGGTTTTCCTTCCCATTTACTCCTTTTAAACCTAAACAAATATTCAAGTAGCATTTGTTGAATAGCAGCTCTTTCAAAGTCACTCTCTCTATCATAATAGAAGCAAGCTCAAGGCTAGGATGAATTAGCTAACGAATTGACTAGGAGAATGATTCTTTTGAACTTTTCCTATTGCCCACTCCGCGCTCTCTTTGACCACTACTCACTGATTAGCTGGGAATCTTTTTGCTTCTTGCCAGTTAGCTCTCCAGGTAGCGAAGGCCGTTACTGATTCAATTCTACCTCAGGTCGACGCTCATTCTCATACACCCTCAGCCGGCGTCTCATTTCTCAATTACATCGACCCTCATTCGTCTATCTTTGGCAGCAGCCGCTTCTGATTGTGCTTTACATTGCTGCATCTGCTTGTCAAGCTTGCAACCTCAACTCTTTCAAGTCATTCTCCAGTTCTACCCTTTCCTTGCCCAGCCCTGATTTGTCTTGAAGCTCTGTTTGCAAGGCCCCACCTGATCTTCTACCAACTCTTGCCTTAATCCTTCCTCAATTTCCTTGGCTTCTTCCAGATCTTAGTGCTTTTGGTTAGCCAGTGCTTCAAAATAGGCACATTCTGATCTACGACCACCCTCGGCCTCATCTTCAGCCTCCTGGAGCCACCCTTGCGTCTTTTCTAGTTCTCTACAGTACAGATCTCTTTCTCCGCTTAGACTGCTCCCTTATCTGTGATACCTTAACCTGCAACTCTTCCTTTTCTCGGGCCTGAAAGCACCCTTTCTTTCCCCAAATCCTTCTGCTGCTCCTCTTTCTCGGCTCTCAGCTTCCCATTCCGCTTTCTCTCTTTTATGCACATATTCCGCCTCGGCCTGCTCGTCGACAATGCCATCATTCCTTGACCTCGGGGCGGCTGAACTCGGGAGTGGACGACTCATAATTCCGTTTGCTCTTTCCAGGCGCCACATGCGGTAAGCTTCAGCTAAGCATCAGAGAAAGCTAGAAAAAGTTTTGTTTTCTCTTTATTTCGTATGCACTGGATTCCGGAATCGCTCTAGTTCAGTTCGTAGCTTTCCCCGTAAACAATTGAATCGAGACTTTCCGGTAAAAGTACTTTTGTTTTCTTGCCCCCGGTCAAGCATTTTTTTTCCACCCCCGGGAGAGCTGCTTCAAACCGCTCCGTGGGTATTAGAGAAAGGGGAATGGAAACTGGGATCAAGCGAAAAAAGAAAAGTCAGGATTCGGATCGGTAACTCTTAACCTGCCACATATCCTTGATGCTTCGCTTCGGAGCTTAGTAATTATTATTCGTAGACTTGAGCTCTTGGGAAATTACCGTGGATAAATGCGCTCTCTTCTCTCTTCGTAACAACGACTAACTTCTTGATTTTGGGCGTCATCGTCCAATGTCTGTCCCTCTTTTCTCTCGATTGAACACGTGCCTTTCATCGCCGAAGGTTCTTTGCCCCCGAAAGCCGCGGCAAGCAAAGCTTAGTTCATCAGTTCAGTGGAGTGGAAAGCTCGGCTTAGTGATGCAACAACCAAGGTAAAGGATTGGTGTAACTAACGGCTCGGCTCACCGATAGGCGACCCATAGAAGGAAATCCAAAGCTTGAACAGAGAATCGAAAGGCCTAACTGCTACGGAAATCCGTACACAAGCACAACAGCATTCACCCATAGCCGAATAAGAAACTTCGAAATAAATGGCGATAGACCTCTAAGCTCATACACTCGCTCTCCTAGACGTACCATTCGGATTACGTGCTAGACGGATTAGGGATTCACGAACATAGGTAATAGCCTACATGGAAGGCTTTGAACCGCATTCACATAGAGAAAAAAAGAAAGACTGATTATATAATTACTAAACAGAATGCAAAGAATCCAAAGGTTGGACCAATGACTAGGGGAATGAAAGGAAAGAAGATAGAAGCCCGGTGTCTCATTCAAGCTTTAGGTTTGTTCGGATAGTATTTTACAGTCTTATTGAAGTGAACTTTCAGCAATAGCCGAGTTCATCGAAGAAGCAGAAGAGGAGAGAGGAGGAATCGAATCTGTCGCTACTGTAGTAACTCTTTTGTCTTTATCTGTCCGTCCAAAACGAGAGTATCGGTCCATTCTTTTCATCTTTCTCTTAGAATGTATGTAGTGAGTCGAGTTCTGACTCATTGACTGGTTTTTTCTCTGAATTGAATTAGGCAAGGGAGTAATGAAGGTCGCGAGTCTTCTCTTTTCCTACTGAGAACAGAGCTGCTGGGTGAATTCTGCTCTGATTCCTGAAAATGGTTATCCGTGTTCTTAAGTTTCAGTCCTTTGCTGTAGTTAATTTCCATTGTCTTAAGTGATCTATTAGAGAGCTTCCCTGTTACCACCCGAAGGTTAATAAAGAGATGCTCCGTGTAGCTAACCCCAAGTCTGGTAACCTTTTAAAATCGGTTTCTGACGTCACTGCCTTTCATGCCACAACACATCGGTGAAACCGGAGAGAGCTGATCTATGACTGAACTTCGCTTCGAAAAGTTCGTACGCTTCGCTTCGTTCTTTGAGTCTCACTTTGCTCTCCTGCTATCTTTGCTGTTAAATTCTCATCTCCTCACTAAACATACGGGGACTAAAGCTATGGGGAATGCTAAACCTGTAACATGAAAGGAATCCTACACTCGTGATACACTGCCAATTTCAGTAATGAGAGGGAGAAGTCAAGCAATTAGATCCAGTGGCCTAGATGCCTTTCGACCTATATATTGGTTGATCGTTCGAGATAGCCGAAACTACCTGGGAAAGAAGCTTAGCAAGGATCTTTTTTAGCATTTCGGATCATCCGCTTAGTAGCCTTGAAAGCCTTTTTATGAAAGAAGGGGTGGGCACGTTCACTCAGTCGAGAGAGACCAGAGGAGTGACGAGAGCCCGAGGCCTCGGTCTTTTCCCTCTTTTTTACATTCTTCTTTTGAATCTCAATCAACTTGTCTACTTGCTTATCGGCATTCGTTGCCACTAGGGCAATTATCATCGCGCCTCTTCTTCGACTCGAAATTCAATCCTATTTACTGAAGGGACTTTCAATTGCTAAACATCATTGGTACAAACTTTTCGAAGCGAAGTTCAGTCAAAGACATAAACCGAGCCAGAAAGATCAAGTCGAAGAGGAAAAACGAAAAAAGCTCTCGAGGGTAGGAGGGAGTGGGATTCGAGAACAATGGAAAGCCCGTAATTATAGCGGAGGTCAATTACATAGAGCCTAAAGTGGCACGAACTTGCTTTGGTCTTCTATTCCTTCGATGCATGAATCCGATTCGAGGATATCGTATCTTCTTTGCTTCTGCTTTGTCTTTCTGGTCCACATTCTCCAATGCTTGAATTTTGAGGTTTGGAACCATGACCGTGATTCTCTCCAAGACCTAGTGGAACTGGCTTGCTACCAGTAGGTGACTTTATAAACGCCACTCTCGAGGTGGAAAAAAGAGTTGAGTTATGTCTTGAAGACAAAGGGGAAGCCAACTGCTTTCCTGAGTTAAGACAGAGGATAGATGTAATTTAGAGGACGAATTTCTTTTTTCTCCCTTTTGCTGGCTCTCCAAGTATGTCTTCTGTGTTCAATCCGGTGGCGTAGTCAAAGAACTTGCTAAGTTAGCAGCCATTCTCTTGTCGAATAAAAGTCAACATGGCTCCTTTGCTTTGGTCTTAGCCAGCTCCTCTATGACTGAACTTCGCTTCGAAAAGTTTGTTGGCTCGATATAATTAACCTTTCTATTCCTTTCCGGCGCAAGTTATACAGAAGGGTGGCTTATACCAGCTAACGAAAACTTCCCTGCTAAAGAATTGCATCACACCGGTGAAAGACAGACGTGGAACTTCTAATTTCGGTAGTTCTTTTTTTAAAAAGTATTGGCGTACAATAATTGATAAGGGCTAACGAGTTCTCACAGTCAGGCAATTTCACAGGTCCGATAGGAGAAAAGAGAGCCGTCCGATCTTCGATCCTTCCCAAAAAAGAGCTATCAAAGTCTCAAGTAAAGGGGAAAGCAAAACGTAAGGCTCGATGTAATTGAGATTATAGACGGCATTTTCAAGTAATGATTCTGATCTTATTTGTATTCAAAGAGCGAGAGTCGTTTTCCCTATTATTGCAAATGAATCCGCTGTTAGGTCAGCAGCGATATTAGGCTTTTTAGTTTCACTCCTTTGTCCAACATACCTACTAACTAAGTATGGTATACGATCTAAGCGTGTTTAAAGCTCGGAGATCAATAAAGCGGAGAAGTGAGCGAAGTACGAGAACAGCTTTTAGTCGTTGTTAAGTTTTTTTTTAACTCATTTTAGCCCTTATCATGCTATTCCGCCTTTTCTGTATTCATATAAAATCTCGCTATCTACGTATGATTACTCTTCAAAAAAGGTAGAAGCACTACCGAGCACTACGGTAAGGGAGACTGGCATCGGCACCGTCAGGTCGGGCTGCATGACCTTGGAATCCTTGGTTTTCTTTTCTCGAAGCTCTCCGCTTCCCGTCTTAGTACCTATAGGATAACATTTATCGTGTCAATCCAGTCTCTCTGAGCTTATGAGCGCGTCTGCAACGCCTTTCTCCACTGCAAATTGGATTCCAAGTTGGGTAGGTGGTTCTCTGTAGCTACATGAGAGAACGGGAGTAGGATTTTAACGGTGGCAAAGCTGCTAGTTCTAATTAGCCATGAAGACTTATACGAGATGTGTGTTTTAATATGTTACTCTCACAGTCTTTTATTGTGTTCTTTCTTCTTTCTATTCATAACTATTTATTGAGTTCATTATTTGTTTCGATTCTATTCTTCTATTCTCTTCTTTTCTTCAGTACTTGAAACAGAATGATTTCATGGAGGTAGCCAGCAAAACAACGGACTCATATACTTGGAGAAGTATCTTGAAAGGAAGGGATATCCTTACTAAGGGAGTGGGGATATGTCTTGCTAATGGTAAAACAACGAAATTCTGGTTTGATGATTGGAGCAACTTCTGTCCTTTAATTCAGTATGCTAAGGTTGAGATATCCGAGGAAGAAGCTGAGAAGTGCGTGGCTGAGTACTGCAATGAGAATGGAAATTGGGATTTAACCAGACTTCAAGATTGTTTACCAGATGAAATTGTTAAGCGTGTGGCTTCAATTTGGATTGATGCAAATGACCACAGTGATGAGGAGGTTTATTGGAAGCTTACAAGTAGTGGAGAGTTCTCAACCAAATCAGCCTATGCAAGTCAGTTTGCTGAATTATCATCTCAAAATTCACATTTGAATTTGATTTGGAAACTTAATTGTCCAAATAAGATTCAAATGCTTGTATGGAGATTGTTACATGGTACACTACCAACTGCTAGTTACTTGTCCCATCGACATTTGACCAATCAGGTGGCATGTTTCCGGTGCTCTTCCTATGTGGAGGATATTACACATGCTCTTCGAGACTGCCCAAAGACAAAGCAGACTTGGCTGTCCCTTGATAATCAACTGACTCAAGGAAGAAATTACCAGCTGGATTCACAGTCCTGGATTCTTCAGAATTGCAAACAGAAGCATTTGAATTTGAGTATACCTTGGTACTTAATATTCTTGTATGCTCTATGGTGTATGTGGTATTGTAGAAATTGTGAATTGCATGACAAGGATTTTGTTTCGCCTGGGAATGCTGCACAACTGATCCGAGGAAAAGCCAAGGAGGCTCATGATGTCTTAAACAGTTTCAATTCAAGACTAAAGCATATTGCTATGATAAGCTGGGTTATGCCTCAAGACAGAACTATCAAGGTAAATGTGGATGGCAGCGTGAAATCTCAGAATGGAGAAGCTACTGCTGCAGGTATTATAAGGGATAGTCAGGCTACCTGGTTAGGTGGTTTTGTGCATAGAATTGGGATTGCTCAGGTTCTTGAATCGGAATTATGGAGTATCTATGATGGACTTCTGTTATGCTGGAACAAGGGATTTCGAAGAGTGGAATTGGAAACGGACTCCCTCGAAGCAGTCAAGATGATAAGCAGCCTAAGGTTCATGGGTCATCCTCAACATGGTATCATCAAGGCGATCATGGAGTTGCTGGACAGGAGCTGGATATGTTCGATTTCACACATTCACAGGGAGGCAAATTCCTGTGCAGATTGGTTGGCTACTCATCATGATGAGATGCAGCTGGATTTTCTGGAATTAAGGCAGCCACCCAGCAGCCTAATACCCCTGCTAGTAGCAGACACCATAGGTTTCAGTTGGCCAAGGGCCATTATTTAAGTTTGTTTTGTTAGTTTCCTGCTAACAATTCTTTAAAGAGAGATAATATATTTGATTGCGTAATCCGGTTGATCCGGGCTATAGGCTGGGTCGCTTCTTCTAGGGCTGGCTAGCCCAGTAGTATATGGAAGGGGGTACTTAACAACCATATAAGACTACATGAGGATGGTAACAGAGAAGATTCTCAATTGATTTGAGATTCAGATCAGACTACTTTAACAGGGTTAGGGTTTCTAGGCGAACTGGACGAAGGAGTTTAGGCTTTCAAGCTTGACGCCGTATATCCAGAATGGGAAGTTGCAGTCGTTAAGACGTTGGAGTAGAGAGAGATTTGGTGATGTTATGCGTCGTAAGCGCCGTTAGTTGGCCTGATGTATAGATCGTAAGACCTCTAAAAAGGCTGTTTAAAAGCCCTACAATCACCTCGACGACGAAATCCGAATCTTGAAATAAAGAGAATCGAAACTCATTCGATCTTCCTATTCACATACATGAATTCAATCAATTAAGAGAATCCGTAGAACATGACCTTATTTTAAGAAGCAAGAAGTCTTAATAAGTTGGACCACCTCCTCGGGGCTTGCTGTTCGGTCCGTTTTGACCCCGTTTGACATGTCTGTTCCGCAAGGGCTGAAGGTGATGCCATCATCATCTTCGTCTATACCATCTCTTTCCACAGGGGGCCCTTTGGAGCTGCCAGCGTCGTCAATCTCCCAGGACGACCTCTGGGATTCCCTTGAGCAAAAGCGAAAGGACCAATTATCCCTTTTCTCGGAAATTGAGAAAGCCCCCATGTCGATCGGGAAAGACATACTGGAGTTAAGACGACAGGAGCGGATGCGTCTCCCTGGCGGCTTACAGGCAGATCACTTGGTTGATATGTTGGCGGACTCGCATGGACCTGAGCGGCTAGTGGATATCGCACGGGATATCCGGGAAAAGGGCCTCTCCTCGGAGTTTGACACCGAAACAAAGACCCTTTTGACCTTAAAACGCGAGGGAGTGACCGAGGCCCTATTAAGGAAGGATTGGGGGGCGATCTTAATCTGTATTTACTTTCATGATGCTATTTGTTTGCTTTCAACAAAGGCTGAATGGAGCATGGACAATAAACTTGCCCGTAAGTTCAAATTTGATAAAGTGTATGAGGTGGCCGCATCAGGCTTTGTGGGTGGGTTAATCCTACTCTGGAAATTCTTCTTCTGTTCGCTTTTCTGTACTCTCTTGTAGTAATCAGTGCATTCATGTGGAAGGCAGGTTGGGAGAGTTGAATTTCATATTTTCCTTTGTGTATGTCCAGCCTCCCTGAACAACCCCTGTCGAGCTTAAAGAGCTCAAGATGCAACTTGAAGAACTCCTTTAATCGCTCAAGTGCCTCTCAATGGGGCACTCGTGATCCTTTACCAGGAAAAGGGGATGGAACCCGGAGCCTTTTGTAGTACTGATATCTGCTTCAATAGTTGTTTTAGGAAGGAGTGAGTGAGAGCGCATCCGTACTATTCTTGGCTTGGTTGGATCCGTATGGTTGGTGACTGATCAAAATAATAAAGGATGATGATGATGATCAGAGCATGTTCGGGGATGAATGTAGTCGGGGGAGATTGGGAGTTAGCCATCCCGGGTGTGGTGTAAGTTTCAGGACTCATAAAGAACTCAACGGGAGGAAGTCAAGGGAAGTCTCGTCAAGTCCCACCCGTGGAGTGCTTCTATTTAACAAGAATGAATATATTAGTAAGGCAAGGTGATTGTTCGTTGAGTCATCTTTGGTAGGGCTTCTTGTCTTTGAAGGTTTTCTATGTATTTTCATTCTTTTAAGCCAATAACAAGCTAGGTAGCGGCTAAGAGGTCTTTCCTTTCCTATAGGCTTTTAGGACAAAGTAGCTACGCAACGAACCCTATTTCACAGAAAGCGGGGATAGCTCAGTTGGGAGAACGGCTTAGCTCGTCTTGACTTTATGCTGTTAAAAAAGGATCTATCGCTGAACCAGAAGAGAAGCTTCTATATGCGTATATCAGATTGAAGTTCTACTATACGCGAGAAAATTCGAGTGCGCTATCATGACAGGACTCGAAGGATTGGATGAGTTTTTCCTTTCTTTTTGAGATGTGAACATATATATCGAATCCCGAACCATAGAAATGGAGAAAAGGTGAAAGGAGTGTAGAATTTGATGCACAAGTCGGCAACCTGACTAATACCTGCCTAAGATGATCTAACCCCGTGCACCTAAATGATTAGTTGGCAGGAGTGACTTGACAGGAAAAGTGCCGGCTAATATCAACCTATCCTATGACCCAACTATATTCTTGACTGAACTTCGCTTCGAAAAGTTTGTATGGTCGAGTATCTTCAAACCTGCTTACCCACTATCCTTGAAAACAGACTTTTTTCCATTCTTTAAGTCCCGGAAAAGGCAAAGGGCTCCAACTCCTTTAGGAAAAAGTGTTCCATCCCGAAAAAACCATGCATGCACGGGTTCGGGATTGGTTGGTACTATGATACCGCGATGCAAGCAGATGTTAGCATCGAGTATTTCGGGCCCCAGTAGTCAATTACCAGTGTAAGATCACTCGAATCGACCCACAGTTGCTTCGTTTCGGTCTCCTATGGAAGTTTGTAGAGGTTTGAAATCTTAAAAAAAGACAATTTTCTATTACTCCTTTGGGAGAGAAGGATCTCTCTTTACTTCACAGGTTTGAAAGTGAAGGGTGGATGCAAGCGCTCGTGCTGGCAATAAGCCCAGCTAACCCCCCTTTATTATGCTCCTGACGCTACCCCTTATCCCTATTGGATCCCTTGAAGAATGGAAAACCTTAATCTTTTGGCTGAAGGCAGGACCTTGGTTGAATCCGCAGTTACAAGTAGTTCGACCACTCAGTTCAATCGTACGAATGCCTCGTCAAGGAATGGAGATAGAACCAGCTGTCAGGTACTTGTACCAAAGGCGACCGGGCCCTACCTACTGCTACTGGCGCTTCAAATACTGAAAGACGAAAACACTATGCTGTGCTGTAAGTGATCAGCTGGCTTGTGTAGCCTAGCCTGGACGATTATCCCTAGCCTCGGTAGCTTACAAGTTTACGTCCATCCCTGGTGGAATAGCGGTATATAGCTAGCAACCCATATACGCTCTATTGAAAGCCATAAATGTGAGTAATATAGCAATAGCTATTGCGTAAGCTATAGTGGATCAGTGTGCAGGTTGTTTACAAGGCGATTGCAACGTCGTCAACGTCTGGTTCTGTTGCTAGTGCACGTACTTTTGCTCTTATGTTAATATTAATAAGTAGCTTGCTAAACTCTTGCTATGGTCATATAACATCCATAATTGAATAGATGTAAATAGAGTAGAGGTCAATTACACCTTTCCTTCACTTCGCTTCGAAAAGTTTGTATCGTACCTCTCCACTAATAAGGCGCGTTCTCTTTTGTAGATTAGCCCCTACTACTATCCGTACCTAAGCGAGTGTTCCCCAGCAGTCGGATAAATCCCTATCTTTCCGAAAGCTTCTGAAGGAATAGAATCGATCGTCTCATCTGCCTACATAGATGGTCAGAGTCGCACAACAACTACTAAATCGGGGGGAAGGGTTAAGGATTTTGATAGCGATATGGATGAAAGGGAAGAGGCATGGGCTCTTTTCGTCCTATAGCTTGGGACAAAGAAAGCCGATTACAAAAACTACGATGCTTGCCTACCTCTTATATCCTCTTCCCCGTACATTCACTGAATTCTCTCACTCAGGCCCATACGCTGGGGAAAATCATCAACATCATAGGCAAGATTGAAATGCAATCCATTACACTTTGAAGGTGATCATCGGAACGATGAAAAACCCTTCCTTAGGGCTTTCTCTAACAAACTAATTTCATAACTTTGATAGAGGAATCATTCGAAAGTTCGGATGGATGGAGCCTTAGCCTTTCCGTGTGTGGACGTTGGCATCTTACCAGCATGAGTTCTTCTTTGAAAGTCATTCCTCTAGCCTATGGATAGAGATTGCTTAGATGACTGGTAATCCTTCCTTAAGTGAGGGCGCGAAGCGGAAGATAGCTAAACCTTTTCTTAACTACCGATAGTGGACCCTAGGTCGGCTAGTATATATGTATTCTTCTTGCCTGTGTAAGGAGACAAGCTTAAACCTGGTCTTAGGGAGTGCTCTAGAATCCACCACATCTGAAGATATTGGATATAACGATCTTAAGGGATAGGTCAACTTAATATTTAGCCTCCTCTCCCTTTGGTCCTACCGCTCCTCAATGTAATCGACCCAACTTTAGAAGCGAAGTGAAGGAAAAGAGAGGGAAGTTGGAGTGCCAGGAGGCTAGGGAATACGATTCAGCCGAAGGCAATTGTAGTATCATAAGCCCCGTAAGTTTCCGCAAGCAAAAAGGCGTATTTCAATGTCGACGTTTTTTGCATGCACAAGAGAAGTCGAAGGCCTTAGTCTGTGCTAGTCCCCGAGTAATAAGTTTCTATGAATAGTATACTTTTTAAACCAGTGTTCCAGGTAAGACTTTCTATAGTCGCATTCCTCTGCTGTCCCCTTTTTGAGGAGTTCATAGTTTTATCCAGTTCCTTACGAGTGTACCAATTCCCCTCCAGCTATATGCCTTCTCTTATTACATCACAAGCCGGAAGGGAAATCCGTCACTCAGACGAGGATCGATTACATTGAGGCTCGACGCGAAAGGAGAGGAGAGCAAAGTGAGACTCTAAAAACGAAGCGAAGTGAAGTCATAGAAATCAAAAGACTAAAGATTTCTATTTGCATGTGTTAAGCATATAGCCTAACTAGCATGATTGAGCCCTGCAGTGGTAGAACTTCGTGAACCGGGCATTGGAGAAGGATCGGGTTTCCTTGAATAGCAGACTATAAGGCATATAAATAGCGTAGAAATACACATGTACGTGACCACTTTGTATAGAAGGTAGAAAAGCAAAAAGAAGAAATCGATTGAAAATATACAAATGATAAAGATGTTCTATCTGCACTATGAATCAGTCAAGTGGACTTTCCTATTCTTGATCTAATGGTTGCGCTTTGACTTTGAAAGCTGAATTGACTCTTTAGCTCTTCCCTTTTGAATCCCGTCTTCTAGTGGCTACTGATCTGCTTTCAAGTCTATCTTGGGTTCTCCCACTTTAAGACAGGAAGGAACTGGGTATGCAAAAGCTTTACATTAAATAAACAATGGAACTTCCTTTCGAGCTCAAAGGCTGCTTTGCCGACGACCACTCATTCGATCTCCTTTCTGCTACTTTACTGGTAAACAAAGCCCCTATTAGAAAACAAGGTTCGATCCGAGTAGAGATCAGCCGATTGTTGCACGCCTCTAGTTCTAGTATATCCAGTGGGCAAGATGGTGATGAATTGGTCTAAACCTTCGACTAGCGACTTTTCTAGTATATCCTATATATATGCTATTTCTGATATATGCGCAGAAAATCCGCACACACTCCTGAGAGATGGCAACTGAGCCGCAGCCCAAGAGGCTTTGAGGATAGCTCTCAGGAGGTCTTCGATCGCGCCGAAGCAAAAGCAAGAAAAAAGCGGAAAACTCACCCCCAGCGCTCGCCTACAGCCAAAGCATAAGGGCAGTGGGCACAGATACACTCATAAAGCAACAGACCTAACCGGAGAGCCAACTAGCCCTTGCGCGGCCAAGAGGAATGTGGCCACTGCATGCAGTTAAAGAGTTTGAACTTCCTGACTCTTAAAAGAAGGTTAAAGGAGCTTAGCCCGGAACAAGAGGACGACTGCTTCGCCTAGAAGCAGGAGTGGGTCGCCCAAAGGAGTAGAAAAAAGTCAGTGAAATTGAAGACCAGATGCCCTAAGGCCATAACAATTCTATTTCACAGCACGGCTAGACAGAGAAAATGACCAAGGACACGAAAAAATGACTAGTGCCCTATCGAAATGTCATGTATGCCGAGCCAGAGCTAATTCGGATAGTGAGGGAGTAATTCGAAAAACGGCAAACTGTGCTTACTCTTGTTGCAGTCCTCGGTAAAAGAAAGGTCCCGGCTGGAAAAAAGAGATCAAGATGGGAGCATCTCACTCAGCAGTGAGGATGATCTTACCAAGTCCTTACCTCATGCTTCACACAAAATAGAGATGAAAAAAAGAAGATCCGCCGTCTTGTCTTACTCTACTTGAATTTGACTAGGCATTGATTCCCATCGAAGGGAGAACTCTAACCCTTTGTCTCTACTACGATACTTTAGATCTTGCACTGCCATTAGATCAAGAAAAGGCAGGTCGGAATCGTCACTATCGCTTTAGAGGGAATGAGATCAATCAGCGGGAAGTGAGCTCTCATTCTACCCTTCTTGCTGCCATTTACTCCTGCAACTTTGGTATCAGCTATAAGGATATCGTCTCCCAAAAGTACATAGTCTGTGAACTTTCGACCGGGATAGACCTCCTCGCCTGCCAGCCACACTATTGAATTGAATGAGAAAGCGACTTCGAACTTATGAAAAGAAATCGGATTAATTCCAATTGTAGGATTAGAAAGCCCTTTATCAGGAAATCATCAATAGGCCGGTCTTGCCTTATATCGAATCTAGCCTCTACAGCTTTGGCCTTTCCTCATAGAAAGTCTAATCCGCCTTGGAAGGTAGAAAGGGAGC